GGGGGGGGGGGGGGAATTAATAACTGACACTTCTGTTGTTGCCGGAAGCCTTCTGCACGGCTGCTAAGCCACTTTAAAAAAAAAAAACAGTATCATCATCTCTGCGGAAGGATGGTCTGACAAGGCCGGCCTGCTACGGCGTCAGGCTTTCGTTCCGAGCGGCTCAATTTATTCACAAACTCCACTTCCCCTTCAGAAAGAACAAAAAAAATAAAGAAAACTTTCTGAACTTTGGCAACAGAACGTGTGGAAGATTAATTTGTTTTCCAGCTATCTGAACAAATTGTTTCTTGCAGCGATGGCACCCAAGCATACAAAAGTAGCCATAAAGGTTAAGGTTCTTCCTCCACCCCCACCAACCTGCCTCTACCCCCACCAACAAAAAACACGTCACGCACCTTACCCACACACACACACACACACACAGAGGTAAATTCAGCACCCGCCTTCAGGACATACACTCATTTTCCTCACTGTGGCAATACACTACAGTATGTCACATGATTATGATCACGGTTCAGAAAGCAGCCATATCCCATCTCAAAACTTTTACTTGATTATTTAGCGAATTCTTTTATTGAAAGCAACATACACGGATCCAATGGTGAAATTACTCTGCCAACTACAAGATTTAAACCAGTGACCTTCCTATTACAGGCACGGCGTCCGCACCCACTGAACCACACACTTCCTCCCAGTTATCGATGTTCATCTTCCACAGCGCAACCAGGACAATCAAACTAATTATTTTTATCCAATCCTCAGGAAGGCAGCCCATGTGTGGGGGTGCCGTCCAGGTGGCTCTGTGCCTGTGAGCAGATTGCTGTGCCCCCAACCTTGGGGGAATAGTCACATCTCCAGAGGACCCTTGAGCTAGACTCCTTACCCACCTAAATACTCGATGGGCGTCGGCTAAATGGCCCAACTTCACTCTCACCTGTATGTATTTATCAGTATTTCTCAAAGGAAAGCGAGATGGGATACGTGATGAGAGACAACTTCACTCACACTCGTGCAAAAGGCCAATAAAGTGTAATTATCTCCTTTCTGATCTCAGGACACGGCTGATTACCGTTATGTCTTTCCAACTCATAATGAAGCTATTTTCGGTCTCCATTTGCTTGACCTGGTCTTCGTTAACCTGGAAGGAATAGGCAGGGAGATGGACATCAGTACACGGGGGTGACCGCTTCACTGGGGCAATGTGATGTGTGATTAGGGGCGGAGGGGGGGGAGAGGCGCTCTGGCCCTGGAGAACACTGGCACGTATCTTCAAAAGCACAGCGCGTAACAGCACGCCAGGGTTTAAACCCGGCTTTGATGTAAGCTTCTGTCCAGAACAAACCATGTTATTGCCTTTCAAAGCCTTAACATGTACTTGAGGGAAGAAATTATTTTGCTCAGTCTCCCCCCCAATCCCCCTTGTTTTCATAAAATCATTAGCTTGTCATGGCATGCGATATGCAATGAAAGAGCGTCCTGAAAACACCCAGTGTGTTTCGAACTGATAAAAGCTGAGGCGATGCCGCCTTCTGCCATGTGCCGTTCTAATTAGGGTCTTACTTGTTTCACACCATACTGAGCGCATTCAGCATGATTTTCAGTTATTGGTTCTGCTTAATGGCTATTTGTCATGCAGGCAGCGGCATCGCTAACTGATTTGGAGGGAACGCTCCTCTCCGGGGCCACGGACGGGACGCGGGAAATTAGGATTCTGCTCAGCTCCAAATCCTATTAGTACAGAGGCTATCCGAGTGTCACGCCGATATCATTCTGCCATCACTTCACGGCCCCCTGTTTAATAACAGCCTGCTCTGGGGGCAGAACCATCGCAACAGAGCGGTCATCTCTTTGGGGTTTGCCATCTCTGTTTTCTATAGAGTTTAGAGAGCGTGGGGACGTCGACAGTCGGAAACCCAAACCACCATTTTCAGTCTTCACATTTTTGGAAAGTCATTTTCCTCACATATTAGGCATTTCCCTTTCAATAAAATGTGTCCCTTTCAGTGAAATGCGACCCAACACGTTCCAGCTGTAGGTGGCAGGAAGTCTCATAATCTCAGGCCTGTTCCTCCAAAAACCAGACTTCGTCTTGTCGTGCCACACTGGTGCTAAAACATCTGCTGCTAACTGCTAGTGCCTCCTAAATTAGGCCATCTGCTTTATTACAACTTCTCAGTAACAAATATTCCATAAATACATTAAGGTTTGAAAAAGCAACAGATGCTTCTTCAATTTTATGCTAATTCTATAATACAAAGGCGACGCTTCTGGCTCTGTTTCCATCATGCTCCAAATATGCTAGTTTCTTTTTTTGTTAGCTCTACCCTGCATGCATTTGGGCTGATCAGCATCTAACTTGGGAACTTGAGGAAAATATGAGTTACCTCTCACATCACAAAAATGAATGCTCTTGGATGTATTTTTAATGGGGCATTTGGGCCCGGGAAATAGACTCTGGAGTCCTGCCTACCACATGACCGAAAGCCAAAAAGATGCGAGACTCACGTCGAACAGCTCCGCAAAGTTGTTGATCAAGTCCTCAACGACACGGACCTCCTGGCTCATCTGCCCTTCTGTCTGGAACAGGCAGGATGAAAACACTGAGGCCAGGTTGTGGGTCACCATCTGGTTCATGCTGGAGCACTTCTGGATCCTGCCGGAGAGAAAGGCGTCACGAGCCGGCCCTTGGCACCGAAACACACGCTAATCTGCTCAGGGAGGGGGGGCACAAGCCGCACACACAACGCTGGGTACCCCAAGCAGCGGAGGGGGCAAAAACCAATCACACAATATTCCGACGTTTTATGTATTTTTCAGTTTGGATTAGCATGCTTAATGATGACTCATTCTTTCAGACATTCACTGGGTACCCCAGCGGCTTGCAGAACCATCTGGAAACGCGAAAAGGGGATGTATTTTAGGTCACCGCTTCTGGTCCCAGCACAGGGAACAGGCAAGCAGATGGAAAACCCCAGCCAAGGAAAGTGAGGTATGTGGAAACAGGATTGGGCCTTGACTATGCTGCGAATGACACTTTTAAAAAGCTATTAAGTGAATAAATAAATAAAGGCCGGCTGAGAAGATGAAGGTATTGTCGGATGATAAAATATGTATATGCTTATTAGCTCTCGCCGTGTCTGAGCTGAGGACAGAAGCTGGTGGCATTAAATGTGAGGCAGACACATGGCGGCGCAGAGCCGAGGCCAGACAGAGTGATTAATCACCACAAAGTGGCTCACATTCTGGCCCATAATGACATTCCGGGGGAAACACAGCAAACTCGCTTCCCGATCTGAGCGGGAATTTACATACGACAGCAGATCAGCCCCATGCTATTTTCCTTCTTTTGTAAATGGCCCCTTTTAAATAAAAACCCTGGACTGAAGATCATCAGAGGCAGTTTAAAGAGACCATTTGGCACAAAGTCACAGAGATATCTCCCATTCGTGGAAAATTAACAAAGAAACCCTAATGGATTTCATTATAAAGGCCTGTGTGGTGCCGTTGTGCTGGATAGCCATTTTACCTTTTAGCAAGGTCCCCACTAAGCAATAAGTCAAAATTCCCAAATAAATAATAAATGTAAGAGTTTCTAGCTGGTGAGAATGAGCCCAAATGCTCTGGGTGTGGAAACACGCAGGTGAATTGGCTGTCTGAGGGAGCTGTACTGCACCACAGTAGGAGAATGAAAGAGCGCCATCCCATGGCTGACGCTGGCCAGACACCACTCACCCATGTCTGCTTCTCTCTGCAATGTCCCTGTTTGCACAGCAAACAGTGGAGGCAAGGCTATGCACTGCCAGCCTGCCCCCTACTGGAGGATCTGCTTAAATGTTTTCTAAACACATCCTGTTCAGACACACACACACCTAATCCCAGCTATGACAACCTTAACCATTACCCAGCTCAAAGCTTAACAATAAGTAACCAAACAAAATACAACCCTTCTGGCAATTTTAGTTTTTTGATTGCAGTCACAGATTCACAAAAACAGTGGGGAAGATTGAAGAAAAATGTCATGCTTAATGGTATTAGTGTGGAAAAAAGGAGAAATTAGAGCCTTACTGCATTCTTCACGGTGGACAGCTTGAGTCAGAGTACAATGCTGAACCAAAGCCTTACTGCATTCTTCACGGTGGACAGCATGAGTCAGAGTACAATGCTGAACCAAAGCCTTACTGCATTCTTCACGGTGGACAGCATGAGTCAGAGTACAATGCTGAACCAAAGCCTTACTGCATTCTTCACGGTGGACAGCATGAGTCAGAGTA